CTCAACAGGAAATGGGGGAATGAATGAGGTTCCCCCATGAACGACCTCTCAACACAAACCATACATTGTCTTCCAAACAGGATAATCATTAATAGATTCTTTACACGTTTGCAGCGTGTTACAAGATCTTTTTATGAATTGAATTTAGTTACGTTGTTGTAGCTTTACATACGAGTTCAATACAACAATCAAGAACAAGTTTGCTATGGCAAGTGATGTGAATTTATGATATAATGAAACGTGGAACTCGATGGAAAGTATATCAAAGTGCTTAGAGTTATAAACAACCTAATATAGAACAGCCTCATATTTCACACGAGGAAATAGATTATTCCATTTAAACAACAGTCCATCCGGATCATTATCCAATGGAGGTTTTTCAACTCATCTCTCGTCCAGGCAACAATTGGCAACACACACCTCAAAGAGCTGCTCATCGTTCTCATCAAAGGGCTGCCCGTTGAGTTTGTTGATGATCTTCGCTACACCTGGAGGTGGAAGCCGGTTTTAATGTATTGATCAGTGATGAACACTTTTGAAACTTGTTTATAAAATCCAAGAGTGATATGTGTAGCAGTTATTGTGTTTGAGGCATCCAGTTATGTTAATTCGCATGCTGGAATTGTTTAGATATATACATACATTATACATATATGCATTATACAGGTATGTATTATATATTAACCTCTTTCCCACTTTCATGGAAGAGAGGGGGATGGAAGGAAGGGGAGGGATTGTAGGGGAAAGGGGTCGGAGAGCAGGAAGAAGGGTGGGAGGGATAGGGAAAGGGGTTAAAGATGGTGGGTGGGAGACTAAACCAGGACATTAAAAGTAGTTAATATTACCAAACATTACACCAAGACTATCATCATCATCATCTATGACATCTTTGGTCACCATTCACCCTCCCCCCATCTACACACCCCCTAACCCCTTCCACCCCCCCCCCACACCATCATCACCACAAGCCCTCACCAATGATCTGGAAGTTCCTGTTCCTTATAGGCATAGCGAGCATTGATCTCACGTTTCCAGCACTGCCCTTCTCGACCTCCACACACTCAGCGATGTTCATGTTCTCGCCGGTGCAAGCTACTTGTTCCGCCAGGTGCAGCAGGTGCTTGGCCATCTCGCTCGAGCCCACCTCCTTGGCGCTGCAGAGAAAGAGAACAAGCACGTCCGTCAGATTTTAACAACATCGTAACGTGATATGAGAGAAAACTGCAGAAGGCCTTTTGGCTCATACGAGACAGCTCCTATTTTATGTATCCACTCACACTCATTCACGCGTTTGACCTACGGGAAATATTCCAGCGCCTTTGAAAACATTCCAGCGCCTCTGAAAATATTCCAGAGCCTCTGGAAATATTCCAGCGTCTCTGAAAATATTCCAGCGCCTCTGAAAATATTCCAGCGCCTCTGAAAATATTCCAGCGCCTCAGGAAACATTCCAGCTCCTCTGAAAATATTTCATCGCCTCTGAAAACATTCCAGCGCCTCTGAAAATATTCCAGCGCTTCTGAAAACATTCCTGCACCTCTGGAAACATTCCAGCGCCTCTGAAAACATTCCAGCACCTCTGGAAACATTCCAGCGCCTCTGGAAACATTCCAGCGCCTCTGGAAACATTCCAGCGCCTCTGGAAATATTCCAGCGCCTCTGAAAACATTCCAGCACCTCTGGAAACATTCCACCGCCTCTGAAAATATTTCAGCGCCTCTGAAAACATTCCTGCACCTCTGGAAACATTCCAGCACCTCTGAAAACATTCCAGCACCTCTGGAAACATTCCAGCACCTCTGGAAACACGAGCGCTGCATATTTCTAAGCGAAGGAAAATGAAAAGGCTGAGACATTGAGCCACAATCAAAATACAACAGAGATACAGGAATACCTGTGCAAGACAGATGCCTGGACACTCTGTTATAATATATATATTTGAAGTTATTACTGATGAGCTCTGCGTTTATTGATTAAATGGTAAGTATTCACTTTTGATGAGGAATTACCTTGAAATGCCCCACTGACATGAGATTGTCTGTCAAGAATTAAAGGAAGAGTTGAGTTTTTGGTGGCAAATATTATGATAAATAACTAATGGGTAGTTAAAGAAGTTATTGTGACAAGTACCATCCCCCACCACTACAACCACCACCACCACCACCACCACCACCACTACCACCACTACCACCACTACCACGCTTGTCACCACCACCCACCACTACTACTAAACCTGTCACAACCACTTACTTGTTCGTCGACTGGCCGGAAACTGGACAGTTCAACTCGAAGATTTTGGAAAACTTTACATTCTGCTTCTGAAACAAAAACAATAAAAAAGGTAACCATTAATAATTTTCAACAAGAGATTGATCTAACAACTTATCACCGAAGGTCAAAAGTGTGACAGAAGAGAGAAGAGAAAGGAGAAAAAGAGAGGGAATAGAAAGGAGAGAAGAGATCGGGGGAAAGAAAAAGGAGGTGAAGCGGAAAAAGCAAGATATGCAACAATGAGAGAAGATGGAAGAGAAGATAGGTAAAGGTAGGGAATAGGGGGGGGGTCTGGTCACGGCTGTAGAGGGGGGTTGTAGGTAAGGTGGGTGTGTGGGGAGGGAGTAGTAAGTATGCCAAGCCAGGAGTCACATGGGGTGACCTATCAGTCAGACTAAGGTCAGGTTGAGGAGTGGGTCAAGTACTCTCAGACCTGTGTTGAGACATCATGCATGTGCTTATGAACTTAGCAAATGACATATTAACCGCCACATCGTCACGGGTTAGTAGTTGTGTTGATGCCTACGACAACGCTATAGTCCCATAGTAAATAATCACAAGGTGAAAGTAATGGAAAAACCATCGTGGTAGGAGCATGGATCGACGTCAGCCACGACTGGGAATGAGGCTGCAATTCTCCCGGATTTGGGTTGCGGCAACATGTTTAGTCGTAGTCTCAACTGACAGGGTTATTAATCACTACCGGGGGCAATGGTATGCACTCACTCGTAGCCGTGAGCGAGCACAAGGCAATCAGCAGTAGCAGCAGCAGCAGCAGCAGCAGCAGCAGTAGCAGCAGCAGCAGCAGCAGCAGCAGCAGCAGCAGCAGCAGCAGCAGCAGTAGCAGTAGCAGCAGCAGCAGCATTTCCAAGCAGGTGGAAGCAAGCGTGCCAATCAGCATGCATACGAAGCGTGACAGAGCAAATAGTTAATATAACCCCCCCACACGGTACCTTTCATCTGTCGTCTGTGAGCGTCGAATGACCACAAAACACTTCAATCACTGACGCTATTGCACTCAAAATCAACGAAGAAGTAAAGGAGAACTTTGTACATACCAAGAAATAAATCACACACAGCCATCTACCTTACCTGTAAAGCTTCTCTCCTCTAAGTACTCGAAAGAACTATGTCTTCACCAGTGAAGGAACGCCCTTACTATGAATAATATTGACACACAGAAACTAGAGTGGACTAGAGCGGGTCTGGGAACAACCAGCACATAGATTCGAACCCTGATCAAGGTTCTTGTAATCTGGAAGAAGCACAAGGATGCCAGAGGTCAGCTGTAGGCTAGCCAGGACACTCATACAACATGTATACGGCGCTGACAGAAGCCTCTACAACACATGCGGACACTGGTGTTTACATGTGTGAAGTCTTGACCCTCTCTCTCTCTACCCCCTGGCACAGCTGGGCGGGTTATACTGGGTTATACACAGCTGGGAGATGGATATACCTCAGCGACAAGATGGATAGGTCGAGTCGTGTACTCAGGGTAGTGGTGGTGAGATGGTGTTATGTTGGGCTGTTGTTGGTAGTGTATTAAGACAGTGAGGAAGATGGCGAGTCCCCGGTACTCACATGGTGACAGAGTTCCCACAGATCAAGACGGCCGTGCAATGATCAACGAATCAACAAAATTAAAAATGTAACAATTTGCAAGAAATAAATCTACCACTGAAGCAGTTAATAACAAATAGATTAAAGATCACTTTGGCATTAATAACAGTGAAAGATAACACTACTTACAAAAACACTGGACGAGCGAAAAAAAAGGGTAGAAAAAAGTCTTTTAACAAAATATTTGCCGAGTAATTATGCAGGCGATGAGTCACAATAACGTGGCTGAAGTATGTTGACCAGACCACACACTAGAAGGTGAAGGGACGACGACGTTTCGGTCCGTCCTGGACCATTCTCAAGTCGATTCGACTTGAGAATGGTCCAGGACGGACCGAAACGTCGTCGTTCCTTGAACTTCGAGTAATTATATTAAATGCGCGTATGGTATGGGGAAATAAGCGATGCCAAGGCACTGTTCGAGGAAGCAGATGGCATCTTAGTGCCGTGTGTGTGTGTGTGGGACCGGCTGCCTTCGCCGTATTGTCACCTTGCCTGCAGCCGTGGAAGACGGGTCTGGCTCCGGCGACGACAACACTGTTGCGGCTTCGACGACTCCAGGTGACAGCGGCGACGACACCGCTGAAGCAGACTCGCCCGGCGACACGGGAACGGTGGCGGCGTCTGCGGTGTCCGGTGGTGGTATTGTTCTAATGTGGCTGCTGCCTCCACTCCACCTCAGAGTGTGGACTGAGGGCCGGGATGTGACTCTATTTACGGTGGAGAGGGAGATGCTGCCTCTCTCTGCTGCTCGCTGTACCACCATACTGTTATTGGTCACCAGGTGGCCGCCACACTCTAGCTCCTCCTGCCAGGCAATACCAACAAACTGCCTTTTAGCAATTATCTTCTCTGCCTCAAGTGGCACTCTGTGTATTAGTGCCTCAAGTGGCACTCATCCCATCAATGCCTACAGTGGCTTCCAGCTCTAATGTATTTGTGTTCATAGGGCTCTGCTGTCATCTAATTCTATTGCCTATATTCTTATATGAAATTGTTGCCTCTGTCGTCTGCTAACGGTACTGTTTCTGTCGAAGTGCTTTTCCTTTGACCTCATCTAACACTTCTGCACCTATCTTCATCTCATGGCATATGCTGGATACTACACACACACACACACACACACACACACACACACACACACACACACACACACACACCTAGTGGGGCAGACCTCATGGGAATAAAGCAAGTTTAGCATAATTTACCGGCCACAAGTAAGTGATTGGTCTCCAAGATTGGTCTCCAAGATTGGTCTCCAAGATTGGTCTCTAAGCAGGAGACCTTGGCCACAGCGTCTGTGAGGTAAGACTTACCACATCTCTGTAAGTCAAGGCTCTCTCACTCTACACCACAACTACAAATGAACAAAAAATATCATTGAACATAACTTACCAAGGACAAACCAGTTCCCCGAGTAAATAGCAAGCCACGTGACCCTCGTTCGAGTATGGTTAATGAATAATACGGCTGAAAGTACAATCCGTTCTTGTAAGAAAGCAATCTGTGTGTGTGTGTGATCTTATGTTACTCCGGAATAAGCGTCAGTTTGTCAAATCCAAGCACCACGCAGAACTCTGAATCTACACTATCGGTGTTTCTAGTATATATATATATATATATATATATATATATATATATATATATATATATATATATATATATAATATATATATATATATATATATATATATAATATATATATATAATATATATATATGAGGCTGACAGGTGTAAGACTACTGTGAAATCAAACAATTACATACTACTCCATGCTGGGCTAGTGGTGGTCATGGTAGTAGTAGAGGTGGTGGTAGTTGGTGGTGGTGGTGGGGGGTGATTGTTGAGGTGCTTGGGGGTGGTGTAATTGGGCCATCTATCTACGGCAGTGCCACAAGGGGTCGAGGGGGGTGGGACTGGGGGAGAGGGGGGGCATGCCAAGGTCACGTGCAGAGGGGGGAAGGGGGTTAACACTGTATAAGGAAAGTGATAATCTTCTCTTCTCCTCCTCCAAGTTACAGCCCCGCTCCTGTGCCAGGTAAGTCCACTACGGGCTCACCATAACCCGTGCTACTTGGAACATTTTGTGCCCAGTGGCTGAATCTTAAACAACAACAACATTTTCTTCTCCTTGCTACTCTCCAGGAGCCTGTCTGAAGGCGGGACGTGAAGCTCCTTCAAGTCTGAATTTAGATTCAGACTTGAAAATTAAACACCCAATCCATTTGTAAATAATGGAAGTGATGCCATTACTTCCATTATTTTCAGGTGTGTGTGAGTGTGTGTGGAATGTGCATCTTGATTACTACTTCTATTATCCAATGGAACAAAATTACCGAAGCTGTTTAAGGGGATCGAACTCTCGGCCTCCTAGATGTCCCCTCGACCAGACGTTCCTCTTAATTTACCCCAAATTTGGAGGGCACCACCCGGGACCACTATCCTCCCCTCCCCCCCCCCTCCTTCAGTACTCTGAGGAGGTCTTTGCAAAGAAACATTGCAGTCATGATTGAGTCTGCCCCGGAATGACCAGAGACGCTGGATCGATCCCATCGCAGCACCCCAGATGTGTTCTTATTGCTAATCATTATCAATTAATTTGCTATATTGTATTTGCAATTATTCTCATTGTTATTGGTGTTATTATCTGTTGTTGTTATTATTATGTAAAATCAATGATTTTGTTATGATTTGTTATGGCTATTGCTTTGATAATGTTGCTATTGTTAACAGTTATTGCTATGATAACTACTGATCATTGCTATTGGCATTGTCAGTGCTATTATTAGCAGTGATCTTGATATTACTAGTGTTGCTATCTTTCCCTGTGCTGTAGCTAGCTGGATCAGTGACTGTGAACTGATATCTCGGGGTGAAAAATCCTTATGTGATAACTTCTTTGGTCATATTTGATATCCTCAATCGATATTATCGGTATATTATTTGTGTGATGATATCATTAATGATTTGTTAGCCTTGTGGAATATTTTGTGATAGGGTTTTTTTTTCTATGGGAATTACATGTAGATATTAGCTACTTTCATATATATTCCTTCTTACACATTGTGTGTTGTGATAGAGTTATGTGTAATGTGACAATTCAAGCGATAACAGCTGTAGTGTATCAATAACTGCTTTATATATAAATAAACATACATATGAAAGCATATATTGCGTGTTCGTATTTCACCCAATTATCAACGAAATTCAGGTTTCATATCTCTCTCTCTCTCCCTCTCTCTCTCTCTCTCTCTCTCTCTCTCTCTCTCTCTCTCTCTCTCTCTCTCTCTCTCTCTCTCTCTCTCTCTCTCTCACACAGGAAAGGGAGGGAGAGAGAATCTTTATAATTAATGAACAAATAAAAACATACTGTATTGTCAACAAAACATACATCACAGCTTCAATAAATAAAATATGTCACAGTTTGAACAAATAAAGCACTTCACAGTTTGTCGGGCAGGAATGGTGTTGCCCCAATCACCCCTCTCCCCCCCTTCAAGTCTTCAATCGGGGAGGCTTCCCCCTTCCCCCAGAAGTATCCCCACCACCACCACTTGTGCATTACAGCTTATATCAAGAAAAGTATGATAGAATTTTTTTCAAATTTTGTTGACGTCAATGCATAATGTTTTACAATACACAAAGAAAAACCAAGAAAATAACATTAATTCCGGGTCCATTTTTAATATGATATTGATGATGAGTCACAATAACGTGGCTGAAGAAATGACGATTAAACCACAACTCATAAGATGGAGAAGCTACGACGTTTCGGTCCGTCCTGGACCATTAGCGAGTCGTGATGTCGACTAGATAATGGTCCAAAGACGGACCGAAACATCGTCGCTTCTTTATCGTCTGAGCTGTGGGTTGGTCATCATAATGCAAGATTTCATTGGGAAAGGGGGAGTAGTGTTGGTAGTACCTCTTAGTTATTCACCATTTTGGTTGTACATTAGAATATCTCCCTTGTTCTGTGTTGGTTGTCCTTTCTGAGACAATGGACACCACATAAGATTCTCCAACAACCATATATCTGTTTATATATATATATATATATATATATATATATATATATATATATTAGTATATATTGGTAGCAGTCTTTCCTGTAGACATATTTTATTAAATATGACCGAAAAAGTAAGATTAATAATTCTAACACGAATTTTCTCAATCTTTCGTACATTATGCTTCACTGTTGGAGGTAAATCAAAAAATCACTTCTCCAAAATTCATTTTTATTTCTAGTCTGACGCGACACGGGCGCGTTTCGTAAAACTTATTACATTTTCAAAGACTTCACAAATACACAACTGATTAGAACTTGCGTTTCCCTGATTTTATATCTACATTTGAGTGAGGTGGGAAGGGTGATGTGGCATTACATTTGAGTAAGGTGGGAAGGATGATGTGGCATTAGAGGATATTAATAGGGTATTAAAAGTATCAACACAAGACAGAACACGAAACAATGGATATTGAATAGAAGTGTTTGTAGAAAGCCTATTGGTCCATATTTCTTGATGCTTCTATATTGGAGCGGAGTCTTGAGGTGGGTAGAATATAGTTGTGCAATAATTGGCTGTTGATTGCTGGTGTTGACTTCTTGATGTGTAGTGCCTCGCAAACGTCGAGCCGCCTGCTATCGCTGTATCTATCGATGATTTCTGTGTTGTTTACTAGGATTTCTCTGGCGATGGTTTGGTTATGGGAAGAGATTATATGTTCCTTAATGGAGCCCTGTTGTTTATGCATCGTTAAACGCCTAGAAAGAGATGTTGTTGTCTTGCCTATATACTGGGTTTTTTGGAGCTTACAGTCCCCAAGTGGGCATTTGAAGGCATAGACGACGTTAGTCTCTTTTAAAGCGTTCTGTTTCGTGTCTGGAGAGTTTCTCATGAGTAGGCTGGCCGTTTTTCTGGTTTTATAGTAAATCGTCAGTTGTATCCTCTGATTTTTGTCTGTAGGGATAACGTTTCTATTAACAATATCTTTCAGGACCCTTTCCTCTGTTTTATGAGCTGTGGAAAAGAAGTTCCTGTAAAATAGTCTAATAGGGGGTATAGGTGTTGTGTTAGTTGTCTCTTCGGAGGTTGCATGGCTTTTCACTTTCCTTCTTATGATGTCTTCGATGAAACCATGGAGAAGCCGTTATTGACTAGAACCTGCCTTACCCTACAGAGTTCTTCGTCGACTTGCTTCCATTCTGAGCTGTGGCTGAGAGCACGGTCGACGTATGCGTTAACAACACTCCTCTTGTACCTATCAGGGCAGTCGCTGTTGGCATTTAGGCACATTCCTATGTTTGTTTCCTTTGTGTAGACTGCAGTGTGGAAACCTCCGCCCTTTTCCATGACTGTTACATCTAGAAAAGGCAGCTTCCCATCCTTTTCCGTCTCGTAAGTGAAACGCAGCACGGAACTCTGCTCAAATGCCTCCTTCAGCTCCTGCAGATGTCTGACATCAGGTACCTGTGTAAAAATGTCGTCAACATACCTGCAGTATATGGCCGGTTTCAAGTTCATGTCGACTAAGACTTTTTGCTCGATGGTACCCATGTAGAAGTTTGCAAACAGGACACCTAGGGGAGAACCCATAGCGACCCCATCTACTTGCTTATACATGTGCCCATCCGGGCTCAAGAAGGGTGCCTCTTTAGTACAAGCTTGGAGTAGTTTCCTCAGAATACTTTCTGGCATGTCAAGAGGAGTACAGGCTGGATCACGATACACTCTGTCGGCTATCATTCCGATTGTCTCGTCCACAGGTACGTTGGTAAACAGCGATTCTACGTCCAACGAGGCT